AAGTGCAAAGTGATCGATCAAACTCGAGTCCTTGCATGGAAACGTTTTTATTTGACAAGATATCTTCACGAAATTTTTTTATCCAAGACAGTGCTACAATCCCTGTATAAATAGTTCAGATCGGATCACTATAGCTTATAGCAGACATATAAACTTTTTGTTATAAGAAGAGAACCTGTGAGTGGTATTACAGCCTCGGTGCAACCGAAGTTAATGTTTTTCTTGTTTTTAGTAATTTAAGCCTGTTTCACAATTACGTTAACTTTAAATTTTTTCCGAAAAATTTAGCTTTCAAACAACAGATCGGAGTTTTCCGGAGCCATATGACTTGCTTTTCACGTTTTGCACAAGAAACCCTTATCTAAGGTTTTAGAAATTGGTATTGCATTTAATAAGCAAAGTCTAATCAATGGATTCGTGAACTCCAATTCTGAAATCTGAATTTTTTAATATAAATATTATAATAAGTTAACAATTTGTATAAATATTTCAGGGTTGTTATTTGCCTTGTTCGAATTTGGTCACCTTTTTTGAAGTAAAATGCACACTTTATAAAATTTACAATCAGTGTCGAGTATTTGTCAATCGGCATCACATCGATGGGAAACTATTATTCCTTCTTTTCGTTTCAATATTTGAATTGTTGATGAACCGCTCTGTTTCTAAAACTTTAAGCTCGCTAAATATAAGAAGCATGTTTCCAAATGTGAAGCGAAAATTTTTAATAATATTCTATTACCATTGCAACGATCTGGCGCCACCACTCTGCGGCTGAGATATATGAGATTTTATAAGATGAAATTTCAAACTAAACATAAACATGTTGAAAGCGGAATCGCGTTTAGGTCCACTTAGATGTACTTATGCGTTATGAAAGTGAATGACAAAAATTGATAGTGACAGCCGATTGCTAATGAAAGAGAAGTCATCTGCAAAACTATCCCAAACTGTTTCTCAGAAAAGCGAAATAGTTGCTGTGTTATTAGCCGCGTACACTAAGATCTATATTATAAATGTGTGTATATACCTATGACAATACCAGTTATCATACAAGTATGAGCGAGTTGCTTGGTATCGAATTCACAGACCTACAGCATGAGCCTCGGGACACATCGAAAAGTTATCGTGTTTTATTGAGAGGTGCAATGAAGCGAATAAATTAGAAACAAGAAAGGTTAGGAGATAAACCGACTGCGAGGGACATACATACGATTAAGTTAGTGTGTCAACAGGCAACAACTTGTCGCCGGCTGTGGCAAAATATTAATTTCACAAAATTGTTTCCTTATGCCACATTATAAAGCAATAAATTAACTGAGAATATGAAATTCGTTCTTTTAAGTATATTGTCTTTAACCTGTAACCCTGCAGGGTTAATAAGCTGCGTAAGTGCTTGTTTAATTGACCATTTTCATAAATTTCATATCAATTTCCGACATTATTTTTCAAGAAGCAGAAACGGATAATTTGAAAAGCAACAAAAACAATTTGTCAGCCACCCGTGCAGTTAATGTTGTTCGATTCAATCGATTGTGAGCATTTCAATAATCGCTTCAATCATTTCCGTTTAGCCTTGATGGACCTTTTATGTGCTTCATTTACGATTGAAAACAAGAATGACATAAATAAAATTAAGTTGGCTAAAACGAGAAGTATGACAAAACCGTAACGAATGCCCAGCATGGCGAGAAAAGCTGAAGCAGAAGAATAGCCAAAGGAAATCATTATTTTAATGATCTGTTGATTAGATGGGGCGTGGTATCCAATGCTCGCCCTTTTGCCTTGTTATTATAATACATATATTTATATATATAAATACTTGATTTTATGACAATGAATTACGTTTTGTTTAAGTTAAATTTGTAGGAAAGCCTTTTTTTATTATGCAAATGTACAAATTAGACTCTCCATGACCCGTTCTAATAGCGGTCTTATTACATTTATCTTTCACTGCTTTCGTGAGAGTTCGTGAAATCCATACAAACAAATGAAAATATGGCGCATAAACTTCTGAAACAAAAGAAAGCAAATGAGCTGCAGTTAAACACTTCCATCCGAAGCTTTCGAATTTCCCTATCGTGTGCCAGTTGAATTAGTCGTGTTCTCAGTCGTTTGTGGTCAAGAAATGGCATACAATTTACAATCGCTGGTCATAAAAAAACCAGGTTTTTGTATCGAGTGTGTAGCTTACTTCTGTGGGTTGAAATCTCAGACTTGGAGTTGAAACAGAGATACTTTTTTCTCGTGCCTTCACTGCAACTTTGTACTTTACTGTAGACTATGTTAAGCCTTGTGGAATTATAGGTAAAACATCATATACCTTTTTTTGATTTTTATTCTATTAAACTGAATTGGCATTTTGACTGAGTGGCAACACTTCTTATAATTAATCTTTTAAATTTAAAAATATTTTCAGCTGTAAATTTTTCTAAATTTCTAGTTCTTACTTTACAATGCAATTTTTGGTATACATTTTTAAATAGGTGGCAACTCTGTTTCAAAAATATTTCCAACTGTAGGTTTTCTAAAGCCTTCCTATATTTTTATTATTCCTTGTCAAAATTTGGAAACTTCAATTTTCCTCCAACACTTCCAAAAATTAATTTAAATAACGTTTGCCTTCGTCCGAAGCTTCACTGTAAAAATTGGACGTTTATTTTAAAATAAATTTTTGTAACTCCGCAAATTATTCTCAATTTTTCAGTCGATTTAATACAACTGTATATACTGTATAATTTACCGTATTTTTTAACCACACGCTTATCTCCATACAAATAATGCCCACTGTACTAAATGTTTATCTGCGACCTGTTTTTCGCGCTCTGCTCGGTTGTTGTTTTTGTAACGCTATTATTTAGTTCAATAAATACAATACAATCGCCATTGCTGCTATTATGACATTTGCCCATTGTTATTTTTGTGTAGATCTCGCATTTTATTTGTCGCCGCGCAGTTCACCTGTCAATTCGACAATTAACGTTTAGTGTTGCCGCATAATTTCGACAATACCATTTGTAACATTTGTTGTTTTACGTTTATGTTTTCATTGATAACAATCAATTTTGTGTAAACACTGTTAGATTTAAATTTATTTCTAATTCAAATTAGATTGCTGTTGCACGGGCGCCACCAACAACTGTAATATTATGAGCGACGAATGAAACCAAACACGAGGCAATAGAGACTGTCAAAATAGCTGTTTGAAGCCGAGCACATCAGCATAGCGACATTCCCCAGCCATAATGCGCCAGTGGTTACATTGTTGGTGGCTTTGTCGCGCTAACGAACCATGGTATTAGTGGCAACTCGTTTGTTTGGCGCCGCGTGGGGTCGCCTTGTTTTTATTGCGCCTCATAGTGTTGCTCTCATGTAAATGTCAATAGGCTTGTTTGTTATTCATTGCTGGGTCAGCAACATAATTTAAATGAAATTAAATATCTATTTGAATGTGTAGTACCTGTTTACATGGCTTTTGTAACGGAAAGCACTTGTGCTTGCTTGATAAATACCTATGATCTTTATCTCGATACTCATTTGTGCTTGAAGGTGTGGTTTCGGGCTCTAAATAGTCTAAGTGATTAGCTTTGATTTACAAAACTTTCGCCTACTTTTTCTTGCTTTCCGATTTTTTTTGTGTGGATAGTAAGACTCCATATATGTACGTTCTCAGATTACTTGAACAGATAGTTCATGTAGCAGATATTCATTTCTATAACTTTAATTACTGTTTATTGTGATACAATATCCACAATATACAAAAATTTTAATTATTAATTTACAATTCTGACCCTAGAATGTTATATGTATCTTATATAATTATATACGAATAAAAAGTTTTTTCTCCAAAGTTTTATCAAAATTGCTTTTTAATGATCACTCAAAGAAAATGTGCATACTTCCTTAGAAACCTTTTTCTAGACATCCAAGAAACCCCTACTATACACATGTAAGACTTTTAGAATTTTGCTAAGAATTTGAAATACTACTAGAGAACCGCGAGAGTATATATTGAAATAATATGGACGAGACATTCAAACTATTCTCCCCTTAATCCATAAGGACAGTACAACCAGTCAAAATGTCTACCACATAACATGAACAATATTCTAATTGGCCTTAGTTCATCCCAAACTATAACTGTATAATTTTTGAAAAAGAACTTGTGCACTTTTATAAATCATCCCAAGAACTATATTATGAAAATTCAGCTAGAAATTGAATTCATATGTTTTGTAGTTAGATCTAACCATTAAAAGACACCTACATATTTACATTTCACAGTTGTCGGACACATTATTCTTCGGTTCTAGCCCAAGCGACTTTTTCCTGTTTTCAGATCTCAAGAACTGGAAAAAAACTTGACGATAATGAGTAGGTAATCAACAAAGCATAGGCCTATTTTTAGAAAAAATGCATAACATACAACAACAGCAACAATATTGAATAATAAAATCGATTTTTTCAAACAAAAAATTATGTTTTTTTTTGAACCCACCTACGGAGTTGGAGAGTAAGCCTTAGACAAAGTAAAATGCTCGATCCTTTAAGGTTTTTGTAATTTCAAATATAGTGTTTCGATTTAAGAAATATTCCAGTTTAAACTAAGTTAAGTGTATTATATGAAACAAACAGTTAACCTATTTCCATCGCAAAATTCTGTCGAGTAATCACCACTGCTAGAAAAAGAAGCAAATTGGTAATATATAATCGGTATAAAAGTCATGAGACTTCAATTTGGCGGACTGCATTCATTAGTTGTAATACCCACAACCTCAGGCTGTTTCTATAACACTTTTTAGGTTAAAAATACGTTGGAAGAGCTTCACATATAACTTTTTTCAGATTTTTTAATTGTGTTCATTTAAGGTCCGTGGAAATTTTGCTGTACCCTCTGTGGTGGCAATAAAAATATTTCACCAAGAAACAAATATTAGAAATTTTCTTATTTAAACACTTCTTGACTTCATTCGTTTCATTTTCATTTACTTTGCGTGTTTCTTTGCAGCTCCACTTTCCTTCATGAATTTCTAATGCACTTATCAACTAATTTCATTTGAGCAAAATTGCTGTCAACACTTTTGTCCTTCATCAGCTGCTCTACTCCTCTCGGTTCCGCTCGGCTTCTTCATAGCTTTTGCTGCAGTGCATCATTTGACTTCATTTCATTTGTCAAACGGAAATGCTGAATTCGTGGCGGAACTCTTTTCACCGACTCGAAATAGCTGAAATGCCGAAAAGCTGCAAAGAAGAAGAGCAAGAGTTCGCAATTTGTCATAATTTGTAGAAATGTACAAAGTAGTGCGTTTGAAAGCACAAATAATTTTTACTTTGTTAGCACTTTGTTGAGATTGCCCGGTGAATGAGCCGGGGGTCCTGAGTATGTGATGCAATGTTGTAGCTGAATCGCCATTGGCAACAAAGTACGAAGACATGCCGACAACGTGAGAGGATATATGGCAGCGATGATGCGTCCTGCCAATGCTTGTTGTCACGACAAATTCACGGCAGCTGTTGACTGTGTACAAGGATGTGCGCGTGCTGCGGCAGCGCTTTCGGGTCTTGGCTTGGAAAGGCAATGTGTAGAGTGGCCAAAAACGCAGAGGCCAAGAAGCGCTTCGGCGATTCATTCAACGCCTGGTATTGCGCGCAACTTGGCAGATGTTTTCTTGCCACATGGCACACACACACATGCGTATACATGGCATGTAAGCGAAGACACATAATTCACAGGCGAGCACTGGCGTTTCTTCTTTGTTGATTTTGCAGCTTTGTTGTCGAAATATTTGCGCGGCAGTCAGCTTTTTATTATTTTGCACACATTTTTTGCGCTTTTATTCTGTTATTGTTATCATTTCTTCTTTAGTACTCGGCGCTTAGTGCGCTTCTTTGCCCGCTTGCCGCCTCTATTTATCAATTTTGTTGCCTTTTGCTAATTGGATGAACTGATTTACTAAATTTATGGCAACCAGCGCTGACTTCCATTCAAAGCGCTGCCGCTCACCGCTTCCTTTGTGCGATGAAGCTATTCGGGTTCCTTAGCGCCTCAACCCAACCTCCACTGTGGTAGCGGTAATGTGCTTTACGCTTTGATACTTTCCTACTTTCCTGGATATGTGTGGTATAGAGGGGAAAAAAGCCACTGCTCGCTGGCATTTTCCTCGATTGTTGACGGCAATCGGTTGTTCGTCGGGATTTACTCGCCACAATTGCCATTATTCATTTTCTGATTCCATTTATTCGCTGCACCATGTGAGCGCAGCGTTTTTTCCAGCGCCGTCCAACATTCGCGCACGCCGCTGTAATTGCTCAGCTACTATCAATTTATTTCGAACTGCAACAGCCGGAGTTTTCGCTGCTTTTTTCACTCTTTATTAGCTGCCATGCTTTATTTCCTTTTATTGAAACATCGGCGCATACACACACATACACATATACATACATAAGGCATTACTCTATATGAAAGCAAAACACAAGAAGAAGACGAGAGCTAGAGGAGAAGGCGGCAGATGAAGAAAGAGAAAAAACTTCTTGCACCGCCTTCCCATTTTTCTCCGTGGCGAAATCGCTGATGAAAGCTGATTTATATTTATTAGTTCGTAATATGTTGCATGTTTGCTATATTTATGTGCAACTGCCATTGTGCGGCTGTGTGCCGTCGACATGGTCCATAAAAGCGTCTCTCACATGATTCAATTTGACTTATGGTCAATTTTTTAAATTGAATTCTCTGCCTCTGCAATTATTGCCATGAAAGAGGGCCATTTCTTGCTTTTGCTCAATGCTTCCGACAAAATGCTTAATGATTTGGGGCTGAAATCTTGTTACAATTGCGTCTTGACAGCAACATTATGGTCGTTTAGTGTGAGATATGATAGCAGCGGAATCGTATCGAATTAAGAAATAAAGAAGAATTACGAACGGATGGTACAATAAAAGCGACATATATTTTAATTATGAATATTTTAACGTTTTTCTGTGTACATATATATGTATAGATATATAGCAATCTCGGCATATGTCGATCGCTCTTTGTATGTTTTTTTGTATGTAAATATATGTTATCTTCAAAATAGTTCCAACCACGGGCAAAGATTCCGGCAGATATTTAGATAAATGGAAATACATAGTACATGGCAATATTAAAAGCTGTAATATATATGGTGGATAAAAAAATATGTAAATTGAATGAAGGTTAAATATGTGGTTGTGATTTCGCTCTATTTTTTATGGAGAGTATATAATCTATACTGGCTCATATACAAAATTGTACTCGCTGCTCCAATATTTCTTGACCGTTTCCAGCATTAGATAAAACAATTCAGACCTTGGCTTTAAGAAGTCCTTCTCTATGCCGATAATTTTTTATGTGTTGCTCAATGTCTAAAAAGCGATCAAATAGCGAATCTGATGACTGTCTGTTTATGCTTGCGATCTTACCATTATGTATGTAGTTGGCAATACGCTGCTTATGGCACAGAGGTGCTTGAGAATTTCTGGCTTACACAACGTGTTCGTTTTGGTTATGGATCTCCTGATCTGAGGAACTACAAGTATGTAGCTTGCTGGAACTCTTTCTGTAACCAATCATACTTCGAATTCTGATGAAGTCCATAAACTGTCTAAAATCCGTTGGCGTAAACTTATGCATGAAGGCTGAATATTTTCTCTTTCATTTTGGAGTTGAGGCTAAATGATAATTAGTATCAATCCGTTGTTAACTTTCCGCTCTTTTATGTGGTCACATTGAAAACATTAAAAATTTTGCAATTTTTGATAATAGCACAAATTTAAATTTATGAATTGGTGGCAACTCCATTCCAAAATACGTGTAAATTAAATACTAATAGAGTACTCTCCCGATAACGTTTTTAATCGTTTTGTAGTTTTTTTTTGAATGTTTTTCAAAATGTGGCAACTGTATTTGGGTTACTCCCTACCCTAAAACCTACCAGAATATTAATGCATAATATCCTATAAAGGTTTTCGCGGCTTATATATTATTTAAAACCACTATTCGTCAAAATAAATTAGTTTCTAAACCTTAATATATATAAGATGTTGCAGGTCTTTTTATACTCTTGCAACATGTTGAGTACAACAGTTTGGTTCAACTAACGGATGTTTTTCATATAGGGTAATGTATATATGTCCGTCTGTCTGCCTGTGGAAGCTGTAAGTTGAGTAAAAATAAAGATATCTTGATGAAACTTGATACACATGTTCCCTGGCACCATGAGATGTTTGGCGTAATCGGACCACCGCCACGCCCACATAGCTGCATTAATCCAAAATTTAAAAAATGCCAAGACCAAGAACAAAATAAAATATTAACCTGTAATTTGGTATTGGGAATTGCATTGGCGAGGGCCGTCTAAAGTGGTCATGACCCCGCCCCCTAATAAGTTTAATGTATATACCTCATAAACCAATAGAGCTATATCACCCAAATTCGCAGAGAATACATATTTTTGACTCTCTCTGCGACAGTGTAAAAATGGATGAAATCGAATCGTTATATGGGAAGTCATATTAATTTTCAAATTTCCGTTTGGCCTTATGCCATATAGGTATATCAGTCAATATGTTATGTAAGATATCTTAGCAAAATTAACTTAACGTACAATATTGGATATACTATTGAATTTCGAAAATATGTGAATTTAGTCTACCAACTTTTCGCCGAACATGTGGTTCATTGTGTGAGTCCTATATTTATAAAATTGATTGAAAATATGACCTCAAGTTTACCTCAGCAATGTCAAATTTAACTCAATCAGCCCATCCCTTTCTCTGTCCCCAATATAGCCTGTGTAATAATTTTCGACTTTCCACCTGACAAAATATGTGATACTGTAATCGATTTAATTAATAAGTTTTCTTAAAAATTGTGATTTCGCTGAATAATGAATGCTAAAATGCTAAATAGTTTCGTAACATTTTTAATATAAAGTTTTGCCAACACCTGAAGGTATTTCTCCGGCTTTGATCTTTGCAAGTTGCAAGAGTATAAAATATCGGTTGCAACCGAAGTTAGCCCATCATTACTTGTTTTTTATTTAATAATAATTTAATTACTTAATTAACACACAAAGTAATGTAAAACTTTGCATTCAATAAAAATTAACCGCTACATTTTTTGGACTCTAAGGTTTTTCTGAAATCTAATTTTTTAACATAAAGTGATTTTTTTTAAATTTATATTTACAAAGTATCATTTCGCAAAAAAAAAATATTTGAATGAATAAAAAGCGCTCTTTCGACCAGTAATCTTAGCACGCAGTTTTCCCGAACAAAATAAATCTAGAGTTTAATGATAAAATATGATTTCATCTTTCTCATGCGAATAAACACATTTGCGCCACTCATTTATTTTGTTGGATGCTTGAAGACGTGAATATTTCAAACACATACACACACGCGCTTATACGCAGATAGGTCGCACTAAGTAAATATCCATAAACTACAAGCATTTATCATAAAAGGTTTCAGGTCGAAAGAGCTACAAAATGCGGCACATAAATTTCAACTCTTCCACAGGATGCAGTCGTGCCAAACAGGATACGAATGAATGAATTCGGTAAATAAAATTTGTATGCATAACATTTGGTATAAATTTAAATTAAGACTGAGCGACGAATATGTTTTCATGAAAGCATTTATTGCTGCAGTGCATTAATTTTATGTGCTCCCCTCCGCACATACACCCCGTCCAACCAACGAGCGGCGGCGGCGAACTTGCTGGCTTAAAGGAATCCCAACGTGTATACCTCATTTCCTTTGGCATTTTTCATGTGCTTATCTCACGAGCTGGTCGCATGAATAAGAAAAATGCCGTTACTTTTTTATGTGTGTTTAAAAAGCTCCGACAGTTAGTCCACTTTCGGCGAAGACACGCGAATAATAAGTATGTAAAATGCGAATGAAAAATGTGAGGGAAGTTTACCGTTCAAGTGTGTGTGTTTGTGCAGTTAAATGATTGCAATGCTTGAAGAAAACAGTAAAAAAAACAGCGCTTAGACGCCCTAATGTATGCAACACATTCCTTGAGCGCATTTTTTAACGGTCGCTACTTTCCGAGCAGGGTTAGATGGAGCACGTTAAAAAGTAACGAGCTTTATGAGTAGACTATAGTTGGTTACAACAAGAAAATTAGAGCGAAAAGTGGTTAGGGGAATGAAAAGAGAAATGCTGAGAAAAAGTATTAAAAAGCAAAAGCTACGAAAATGAGGTAAAGCGCGGCACTAGCCGACACGTATACGATGCGGCAGTAGCAAGTCAAAAAAAAAAAAATAATAAAAAAATATTCTTTGCTTAGATGATAAATGGCCGACACGTTGACATATCATACACGTATTTGTTGTACTTCATGTTGATGGCATACAGTAGTGTTGGTGTTATTTCAAGCACGTCTTTCATGCTGCCATTCTCGGAGATTTCGCGGCGCTGCAAAGCTTTCTAAGTAGTACGCGCAGAATTATGTTAGAGCCACCAGTAATAGCAGAGAGATAGTGTTTCCAACGTCAGCTTCGAGTGTGGGAGAAAACTAGAAATGCTTCGAGAAGTGTGGGCGTTAACGCCCACATAGTTAACCCTTGGTGCGGCATGTAATACACACTCCTTGCCTCAACACAGCAAATACCCAATCCTCACTACTCATAACGGGTTTTCGCATTTTCGCCGCCCACAGCTGCGCCCTTCGTGTGTTGTTTGCTTTGTTGTTTGTTGTCGCGCGGTTGCCTTTACGCCGCAATCCTCGCGTCGCATTCCCCGGCGCCCATCGTGCGTACTCGTGTATCCTTTAGCCTTTAGCACTTGCCGCACATCAAATAAAAGCCGCGCTTGAATTTTTCTGTGCTGTTAAGCGTTCCAGCGCAACAAAATGCCAACATTTCCGGAAAGGCTTGCCGGCTCAGCTTACATGCCGAGTGGCTGAATGACGACGGAAATACGCACCAACAATACATCAAAAACGTGCAAAAAACGAAAAAGGCGAAAAAAGAAAAAAATTGTAATAAAAATGTTTCTCAGTACTTTTGCGCTGTTTGCATGTTTGTCATATCCTGCATTTTTGCT